TAGGTCATTGTCTCAAAGTAGTAATGAAATTGGAGATATTTTTCAATTGTTTTTAAGTATAAATTATTTTTCATATTTGCTAGAATTGTTCTTACCTGATTGGTTTAAACTATGAATGAAATTGCTAAAACTTTAACTTCCATTTTAAACTCCTTTCATAATTATTTAAATTGTTAGTTTCATTTAATGTCTATGCCTCAATTTTAAAGTAAGGGCCTTAGTTTATTGATATTCTAATTGAATTTGTCTTTATATCTACAGCACTAATATACATTTTATAACAACCAAATGGATATGCCTATCACAACAATAGTGTCATACATGAAAGAAAGTGTAATTGGTTTCTATGAAATATGTCCATTGTTACATAGGTAGACGATTTCATTCATTTAAATTGAAAATACTATGGTTGAAATCTTAAGAATTATACTTTGAACAAAAAAATTGCCATGATTGTTTTAGATCTAACTCAAGTGCTTTTTTTTTTTTTTTTTCATTTTCACAATTAAGCTAGTATCGTGATGTCCCTCAATTTTGTTCTTTTGAAAAAACACTTCTCTACCTTCTTTATCATAGAACAGTAATTGATTAAAAAATTAAGTGTAACGTTCAGAGTGGAGATAATTGGCAAGAACTTCTTTAACGGATGTTACAATGACTTCATTAGACAATAAATAACCTTTTGTATTTACCTTGTTTGTATATTTTTTTAATTGATTATTCTTTTATGTATTTTTACTATGTGTATAATTTTGCATTCACTATGGTAAACCAATCAATGTCACTGTTATCATGATTGCCTTAGATGTCATTTTCAACCTAATGTTATGTGTTTCTTTGATATTAAAATTTAAATTAAGGTTTATGTGTTACTACTTATGCTTTTTTTGTTTTTGTTTTTTTTTTAAATGACCGAATTTGCCAACACAATATATTTGTGTAATTAGTTTACTCATAAAATCTAATGGATTTTTCTAAACAATTCCTATCGGCACAGATTTGAAGATTGTTTGATACATTTATACCTCGCGTGGAAAGAAAACGACTAACAAGGTACTATCTTTTCAAATCAAGTAATTATTGCATGCAATATCAAGTAAAAAAAAATCTAATGAAATTGTTGTAGATTTTTTCAAAATATCAACATAAATTTTGAAATAAGATTCCACTATTAAGAAATATATCCATGTGATCCTTTTGTTATTTTATAAATTATTTTTTCCAATGCTTGCTATCAACTAAAGATTCATGATAGGCTATTACATTACATATAACGGAATGGCCTGTATAAGTGAGGCACAGGGCGTCGAGGTCCACCAGACTGGCTTTATGTGTTGTAGCAAGATTGCTTAAAGCCTACTTGCTTGGAACTGATACTAGAATTATTGCTTTGGGTTGGTGGTCCATGTGTTAAAAGGCCGGACATGGTAATACCATTAAATTCTTGAACTATTTCACAATTACTTTTGTTACTTTGGTTTATGTATGGTAAATAACATAACACTAATCTAGAACAGTTTTGTTTACTAATGTTAGATAATAGTTTGAATTGGGAGTGGATTCGAGGTTGGTATTTGTTCTTATATTTTTTTTATTATGCATGTAATTATTAGTCTGTCACTTTCAAAGTAGAAATGAAATTTTTGAAATTTTAAGATTGACATTGACTATGAACTCTGTTCAAAACTGTTTTAATTGTTAACCTTATATTTATGTCTTCCTTTCTGTCACTGACGTTAGAAGATTCCTACATATCAGGTTCAAACGAAACCTCCCATTTACACAAATCATATCTGTCATTGATCACTGGAAGGCAATCACGCTTCCTTGCATCAGCAGTTACTACACAATGGTATTTTTTTTTTTTTTTTTTTAAGCAATGGCAAATGAGGCTCTTTCTTAGTAAGAAAAGCAATAGAAACATCTATGAAAATTTTAAAACAATTAAAAAATATTTATTGAAAGCCCGCTGCAATGAGCGGGATTTGACACTAGTTACATATATATATTTTATCTTCTGTTTTTAATATTGTGTCACGTAGACATTACTATGCAAGAATGATTCATTGGTTATTATTCTTATTCTTTTCATGTAAATATCATTCATTCGTCATGTCAATATTATTCCTCCTTTGACTATTTATGAATTTAGACATTTATAAATTTAAGAAATTTAATTATTTATAAATAAATATATTTAATCTTTTTTGTCATTTAAAATTTGAGTTTAGATTTATATTTACTATTAATTAATTTGAATCAAATCCAAATTAAATGAATCTAAATATTCATAAATTAAATCATTCATGAATTTATGACATTTATAAATCCAATTAATTTCGAATGAAAGTACTTAATATTTAATGTAATTTAAACTTAATAATTTATTAAATAATATAAATACCCATAAATCAAATCAATGAATATGTCCTAGTACACATATAACTTATATATATATATATTATTTGGCATTAGCTTACAGGTATTTATTTTTTGTGAGTAATTAGTGATATCTCTATCAAATAGAGTTTTTTCTTTTTACTTAATAGCATAAATTTTGTTTTATTTTTAGTAATTTTATTTAATTTTCATCCCAAATTCATGCATTTTTCTTATGTGTAAGTAAAAATTAAAAAAGTGGAAAAAAAAAAAAAAAGGTAATTTTTGAAGCAGTTTTGGTGAATTTTAAAGACAAATAGCGAGAAAAATGTCTGGCAAGGTTGGCTGCACCTATTGAGACCCAATTTAATGCTGTATTGATTTTTATCAAGTTGAATTTTTTCTGGATGAGAGGAATGCAGTATACAAATTAAAAATCCAGCAAATGCAGTCCATTAGCTCAATGATGCTTCAACAAGTTGCTGTTTTATTCATGCATGCCGCATAAGCCTTAGCATATTTAATTTACTGCATTATTTTGCTTCATGCTTGCGCTAAAACATGTAGATGTACATGCAGAAAATTAAGTATTAATTAACTGGCAGTTTTCTTGCCTTTCATTGGACTACAAGCTGACGACTTGGATAGAAGAAAATTTCTGTTGAAGATAGAAGACAAATGCCGAAGTAATCTTTCTTTATTTGAACAAGTTAAAACCGAGGAGTTTAAGTTCATTCATGCTACTTCAAAGCTACAACAAGACGAGTACAAAGCTGGAAAAGAGACCAAAAACGAACTGCACTCTCCTCTTTAATTACCATGTAAGCCTTTGACCTCTCCCCTGTCTCTTGTTTTCTATCTCCTTCCTTCCTTTCTTTCTTTTCTCATATGCTCATTTACCCAGTCCCATGGAAACCCAAAAACATGAACTCCATTTTGGGAATTTTTGGTTAAAGATAAGAAAAGAGTTTTAGTTGTGACAGTCCTCACCCAAAAACATGCACTTCTTTACCCAGTCTGAGGATATCCATTGTAAGCAGATGAGGATGAATATGATGAAGAGGAGGATACACTTTACACTTTCTTTCATTGAAGATGATGAGACAAACAACTTTTGCTTTACCTTCCCTCTGTGACTCCACTCTTCTGAGAGTGCAATCCCCAAACCCAGTTGAGATTCTTAACAAAGAAATCACCATAGAAACTCTTTCTTCCACGACCAAAAGATTTGGATCTTGAAACCTTGCGCTCAAATGATGATGCAGAAGGAATGACTTGACTCTAGGACTATCATCATCCTCCGTTACCACAATGCCTCCTTTCCGGGGTAATGATGATCCCAAGTGTTTCTCCTTTGGCCTCACAACACAACCTGTTAATAATGTTGTTGATGTTATAACTGCTAGAAGCAATCTTATCTAGTTTTTTGGTAGACTTGGCAGAAAGATTAAGAAAAAAAAAAAAACCAGAAACCACCTCTTTTTCTGGGGCTAAAGTTCTCGTCGTCATCAACAGAAGTATCCAAGAAAGATCGACAACCCCAAAACCTCTCTTCAAACATCGTTAAGTAGATTAAACCAAAGCAAAGCCTTCAAACGAAACCCAACTGACTGATTACTCTCTCTTAAGCTACCGAACCGCAACAATTCAACTATACCTTTTATAACATAAAGATCGACCATTCACGTTTCAAAATGTATCTTCTAAGTTTAACCCATTTACTTTAAAAAAAAAAAAGAAAACACGATCCAATTGCGGGAAAAATGTCATCAGGGAGCCAAGTTATTTCCCAAACATTGTTTCAAGAGTCGTCTTTATCATTTCCGGTCGTTTAGTGAAGAATGGTTTGAAAAGGGTAGTTGGATTCAACTGAGATTTAACCAATTTTGTGTGAATTGCGTTGATCGCTGGCTTTGTGAAAGATTTGGCAATCCGATTAAAGGAATATATTTTTTGGGTGGGTAAAAGAGCATATGAGAAAACAAAGAAACGATGAAAGAAGAATGAAAATAAGGCTGAGAAAAGAGGAAAAAACTTATATTGATGAATTTCACGAAGTGTTTTTTTTTTTTTTCTTTTTTTTGGAGAAGTGAGTAAATTAAAATTAATCAATTGAAATATCTGATTATATAAATTGAGTATGTAAAATTTTTTAAAAATTTAATAAATTTTGATATATTTATTAAATAAATATTTTTAATAAAAATATTAATAAAATTTTTATTACAAATAAATGTCTATCAAATTTAAATTATAAATAATATTTTTAATAATATTTTTTATATATTATTGAATTTTATATTAAATTTGACCAACATATTAATTTAAATTTTTATTTACTTATTTTTAATAAAAATTTTACGAATTTTATTTATAATACTTCATATAAACTTTGTTCAAAGTTTTTTTTTAATTAAATGCTTAGACGGTAAAAATATTTTATTTTAAAATATAAAAATAAAGAGCTCTATAAGATTAGACTTATAAAAATATTTTAAAAAAATTTAAGTGCATAACATTTTTTCAAATAATTAAATAAATAATGTTAAAATAGTATAGTAAAAATTAAAAATTAAAAATATTTCATCCTCTAAAAATTATAAAGAAATTCTAAACATCCGTTGTACCAAAAAAAAAAAATCCACGTGTGCGGTTCCAACTTCCTGCCTATCACTTTTTCCCATCTTCTGCTTCCCCCGTATCATTGCCCCAATTTCTTTCTTTCTTTCGTACTCCTAAACACATCCCAGTTTCTTTGTTTCACTTTCTTCTTCAGCTGCGGTGCCACGGATGCACTGACTGTCTTGACCCCTGTGGTGATTGATAGGTGAAGCGCGGATCAAAGACTCCCAATCGTGCCGTGGAGGACCTGCGGAACAGTCCATCAGCGGTGCGCTTGCCTGTTTCGCACCGTACTGGACTTAAACCTTTCTGGCCAACGAAGACTTAGTATTACATAATCCTTTAGTATTTTCCGTTTCTCCCTGAAAGACATAAGCCCTCGAATTTGTGATTGCGTGTTTCAATAGAGTTTCACTGTAATTTGGAATAAAAGTTACTTGCTTTCCTTTCCAATAACTAGAACTGTTCTTCATTTTTACCTTGCCATATTGTTGATGAATTGAGTTTCATTTGTTTTTAAATGTTGATATAGAATTTGCATTTTCAATTTTTTATCAAAATGTTTCTTTTTGATAAAAATATTTGAGAAAATTTAATGTTTTATGCTGATTCCTTATGCTTTGCTTTATGTGTTACTATAAATTAGATTTGATGTGGGTTACTTCTTACTTGCTCAATTGTGAATTATTAGGTGAATTTTTTTGTTTGACAATGAAGTGCTACTCTCTGTTTTTTTTTTCTTTGATTCTTTTCGTCGGTGTGAATTCAGGTTTCACTGCCAATGCTTGGAATTCGAAGTTGATGAAGTTGTGAACTATTTTGGTTGAACACTGATATATGATATGTTTTGAGGTTTATGGGGATCTTTCAAATGTTTTCTAGTTAATTGGAGGACTTTGAGACTTATCTTATTAGTTAATTGACTGTCATGCACTTTTTTGGGAAGCTTGATTTTTTAGTAGATGCTCTGCCGGATTATCAAACTTATTCATTTTGATTTTATGTTTGCTTTATTTCATGTAAAAATTCCAATTTTAGGTTCAATCTTTTATTCTTAAAATATCTTGCATTGTTCTTAACATTCAGTTTATACTATCTAGAATTTTAAATGATTATGCCGGATTCTCCATTTTGGAAGATATAGATTTAATTGTTGTCAGTTCCGACAGGCATCCAAACAAAAGTACACTGAAGATGCTTCTATTTGTTATTTGTACTGTTTGCAAGGTGTTTGATGCAATGTATTTTTGCAGGGTCTTTTAGCAGGATCTATGCAAATGGCGTTCAGGGGTCAGTGGAGATCATACAGCTCGAAGGTAGACCTGAAGAAGCTAAGGCCGATGATACTCAAGAGAATAGAGAATCGAGCCAAGGATTATCCGGTGCATGGAATGATTCCGGTGGCTCAAGAAGTTCTCAAGGCCAGAGAACTCCTTTTTCAAGGAGTTTCCACCCTTCTCAAACTATTCCCTGTCCTTGCCTGCAAGTAAGTCCTTCCCTTATTTCCTCTATTCAAATACACCTCAATCCAATTTTGCCACATCTTTGCATATATGAAATAATTTTAGTTTGTGCTAGATGTAACTGCTATAACACGTGCATCAAAGACTTTTAGTTAACCTGACAGAGTGATGACTTTTATGGAAATTTCACTAATTATTGATAACTCACAAAACATGCTTTACAAATACAATCCTAATATTTCTGTGGAAAGACCCAAGCTTTAAATAAATCGAATTTTCAAGTAAGTGATTAGGACAAGTTTATCAGGAGACTAGTGTTTAAATGCCAGTGTCATCTCAAGATAGATTTTGACATTCCTCTTGCCAGTGTAGTGCTTTCTTCTGAGGATGCAATCACGTAGACCTTAGTACCCTCTGATTTGCTGAGAGTAAAATCATGCCATGTTTGTCCTAAGGTAATGGAAATGCAATCCTGACTCCACTGTGGACCTTGTAGAATTCCTCCACCATTTTAAGGTACATCATGTGAAGACAGCAGAATCTTACTCATTTAACTGCCCCTAATGTTAAGCTTTCCAGTTTTGCTTGCTCTGTATGTATATTATCTCCAAATGCTTTCAGGGAAGTATTTGATGAAAATTGGTAAAGTTTTGTTTAATGTACAAAGCAACCGTCATCTCAATAATATTTTCCTAGAAGTTGGACTGGATGCAAATTTTAATTGTAAGTCCCAGGGCAAAAAATTTGGTTATTTTATAATCAATGGATCTATTATAGAGATAAGTTTAAGGAAATATGGTGGAACGCTGACTCCTGAACCTAATTGGACTTGTAACATGCATGAGTATGAATCAAACTGTTGAAAGATGTATGATTTCCTTTGTTTTCTATTGTACTTTGATTATTCATGTTCTGCTTATTTGTGCTGCAAGAGCAATTACTTCTTGTTTCTGTCACCTCTTTCATTTCATTAGCAGACAACAGCAGACAACTGTGATGCTACTATCATTTGTTGTCTGTTGTTGGTCAATAGATTCATTTGCATGATGCAACTGCTCACGTTTTAAGAAAAATAGAATACGCATTTAGAACAATTGAAAATAGCAATTTTATTTTCAGTCAACAAGTCAAATACATCTCTCTCTCTCTCTCTCTCTCTCTCTCTCACACACACACACACGTTTGGATTGAAATTTCAGATGAATGGTTGTGTTTGCATTTGGCGGAGTCGACAACTTTTCATGATAGATGAGGGTGGAAAGGAAACCTTTGTTTCCATAAAGAAAATTTCTCTAATTTTACTGCATTACTCCAGCCTCTATTCATCAAAAATCACCTAAAAACCTTTTGATTCATATAAATCTTTGTAGATTCTGTCCTGAAGTATACATTGGTGAGAAAGGTCACTTAATCCAAACTTGCTGTGGATACAAGCGCATTGGAAAGAATAGGGTTCATGAATGGGTCCGTGGTGGTTTGAATAATATACTGGTCCCTGTAGAATCATTTCATATGCAAAACATGTTTCAAGGTGTTGTCAAACATCAGCAAAGATTTGATTTTGAACGTGTTCCTGCAATTGTGGAGCTATGCTTGCAAGCAGGGGCTGATCTAACTGTGGGAAATTTGAACTCTGGTTCATTAACTGCAGATGAATTTTATGGTGGTATAAGTGGAATTGAGTCTTTGTCAGATGATGATTTAAGGGTGATAGCAAACGGCACCTTGAGGGCATGGGAGACACTTAGATCTGGTGTCAAAAAGCTGCTATTGGTCTATCCGGCAAAAGTTTGTAAATATTGTTCTGAAGTTCATGTTGGGCCATCTGGCCATCGGGCTCGTCTTTGCGGAGTATTTAGATATGAAAGTTGGCGGGGAGCCCATTTTTGGACAAAGGCAAAGGTTGATGACTTGGTCCCTCCAAAAATTGTGTGGCGGCGACGGCCCCAAGATCCAATAGTGCTTTTGAATGAAGGTCGTGATTACTATGGGCATGCACCGGCGGTGGTGGATCTGTGCTCACAGGCAGGTGCTATTGTTCCAAGTAAGTATTCGTGTATGATGAAAGTGAGTGGTTTGCCTGCACCTATTTGAGTTTAACCCTCCATCTAAACCTCAAGTGAAGTTGGTTTCATAGTATACGTCATTGAAGGCATTTTTAGGTCCAGAGCTCTTGTAGACCATCTAAGCGGCCAAGATACTTGTCTCACATAGTTTAGAATCTTTCATGTGTATCCTCTTTTGGTTATTTATTTATTTCCTTTGCCTTAAAAAATTTTGTCAATGATCATGATAAATCGGACTTAAAAGTAGTTAGACACATGAATATAAACATGAAATCAATTCTGTGTATCTGAATGTTTTAATTATTAATATTTTATTCATGGGTCTTCTGCCGTTTATTCAGCCGCATGTCCTTTTGCATGTAATTATTGATAATACTAGGTACCTCTTCGCTACTTTGATTTTCAACTGTTTTTAGGCACTTGCAAATTGCAATCAAGAGCAACATAGCAATTAAGTTTTAACTAGTCAATAAGAAATTTCCAAAATATCTTCTGATACATATAACAAAAACTACGTCCAAAAGGATAAAATGATCAAACTCAAAGGCAAATTGATCAAACTTAAAGGCCTAAAGTTAATTGATTTTACAAATTTGCTGTCATCTTGCCTACCACAAGATAGAGACTCAAGCAAGGTCATAAGACGATTCGGCCCTGACATCTACCCCAAGAGAGACTCAGGCAAGGTGAAATCATGCTGATAAGACGATTCGGCCTTGAGGAGATTGAAGAAGAGGTAGATATGAGATCCATCTTCCGCTCCACAATGAAACAAGAAAAGCTCCATCTCCTTCAGTTATATTTTGATTTTTATGATCAACAACCAAGATCATATGTTTGCCGGGTAAATTTTCTCGGGCTTCCATCTCTTTCTTTAGGTCACCAACCGTTGCATTATTGCCAACTTGAATGTAGAAGAGGTTCTCTGTCAAAATCTCCACCACCACCTTCATTGGTTTTCCTTTGTAGCCTGTCTTTCATTTAATAAGAAATTAAAACAATTGAACAGGAGAGAAATATCCAATATGTTCATGTTAGCTGCATTCTCGGTAGTTAGTTTTTAGCATGCTTATGATGTGAACTTAATTCTCCCCCCTGCAAGTTTCAAGGGAAAAAAATCTCATCCGAATGTGATCATTTGACTCAAATATTATTTAAAATTTCTTTTTCTTTAGAATATTTTATTTTGTTATCCATATGATATTTATGTTATATTTTCCATATTATAATATAGATTTAATATATGAATATACATTAAATAGTTTGTTACACTCACAACATCAACATCTTCGACTACTTCCAAATCTCTGGTTTAAGCATCTCAATATTACTGTTGATTGAATTTCAGTAAATATGTTAGAAAAATTTATTTCAATTCCAAAATTTATCCCTTTTTTTTTTCAGATTTGAATGGCCAAAAAAATCTATAAAAGAACATATCATATAAAATTAATATTAAGATTATCATTTTTTTCTTTTTAATATATAAAATATCAGCATTTGTTGGATGGCTAAAATATTGAAAATGTTCGTAAACTTTATCATTTTATTTAGATAAACTTTTATATTTTTATTAAACCCAATTAAATTCTTATTCTTTAATTTGTATCCAAATATGTTCTTATTTCAAACAAAACATTAATTTATGTTTAGGGTTCATTTAGATACAATTTAAAATATAAGAGTTTATTTGAATACAAATTAAAATTTAAAAACTTATTTAAATGAAAAGTGAAGATTAAGGACTTATTTAGGTGTAATAAAAATATATGAATGTATATAAAGAACGTGATAAATTTTAGAATTTTTTATTATTTTAACCTTCTTGAATATATCTTTTATAATTTTGTAATGGATGAAGCAAAAATATTATATAATATATCTCATACTCAACAGCATTGCCTTTTTATACTTATAAACTAGATTATAACTCGTGTGTTATACAAAATAATTTTATTTATTTAATATGAATATATATATAAATTTTTTTTTCAAAATTATATTCAAATATTGAAAACCCATGACATTAATAAAATTTATATATATTGACTTATCATTAAAATATAAACTTTATGAAAATAACAAAAAAAAAAACTATATCTTTCATTTGGATATTTTTATTTACAATAATATTTATACACCTGTAAAATTATATCAAATAAAAATAAATTATATCTTTTTAAAAAAATAAAAATATATATTATTGAATGATAAATTAAATAATAAAAGAAGTATTAACACATTTTCACTTTAGTAATCTTGACAAAATTATCATACGAAATATGAAAAATGTTAGAAAATATGTGAAAAAAAAATAAATTGAAAAAAATATTATTTTTCATATGAATGAAATTATAATAACAATAAAATATATCTTAAAAAAATATATAAACAAAAAAAATTGCAATAGTAATAGAATATACATTAAAAAAGTTATTGAAAAAATAAAAAAATTGATGTATAATACATTACATTTGTAATCTTAAATTTATAAAAGAATTCTCTAGTGGCAATTATAATTAAATAGATAATTTTTAAATTAATTTTTTAAAATTTAAAATGAATATAATAAGTGATAAAGGTAATATTAAATTTTTTTACATTTATTTGAAATATAAATTTGATAATTAGAGTTCAAATAGATATAATCATTTTGAAAATTTCATTATTTAAAGATTTAAGATGAAAATTTTTGAATTTTCAAAATCTTACATAAAATTACTTGAATTTTAACTTTTTATTTAAAATTTTTAAAAAGATAATTTTTTAAATCAAGATAAAAAATTTGTTGAAAGATTTAAATAAACTTAATTTTTGTAATTTTTAAATTATCAAATTTGTAATTAAAAAATTATATTATTTTTTTAAAAAATTATCTTCTATGACATTTAAAAGAATTGTCTATATAAACGATTATGTGACAAACTTGTTTGTGTATGTTGTTATATAATATATATATATATATATATATTAGATTCGGTTTTCCACCTAATTACTATAAAAGAAAAAATTTACCAAAAAGTGAAAAAAATTACAAATAAAATTAGATGTTTTGTTGTCTTTGTATATATTAACCAAAAGCTAGTAATAAATTCTATAATTTTGATCTATGCACTTTGACCTTTTTTCTTTAATATTATATGGTTTTTAATTAAAACCCATGAGAAAAGTTACATAAATATGTTTCACAATAATAAAAAATGGCCAATATTCAATTTATCAATCTTTACGATTCTTGGCCAAAAAAATAAAAAACTTTACCATTGATGTCTTTATGCTTATATTTTTCGAGGAACATGGGTTACAAAAATTTATTAATTACTATTATTTTCAACAGAAGAAATTATTAAAATAGCGTATGGACAATAAATTCATATTTTAACTTATTTAGGGCTCATTTGAAAAGTCATTGAATTTTCAGTCCATTATCATTAAACTAATTTTTTCTTCGATCACCCCTTAAACATTGCTTGGATAACATGGCATCCGGTGCATTTGGACTGTACCAAGTAGTTAGTTGTGGATTGGAAGCCATTAATATCCCAATTAGACCCTTTTATCTCCAAAATTTTTCTTTGATATTGTCCTTAAATTAATTTTTTATTCACTAAAACATTTAACCTATGTTTTAATAAAAATAATGTTTTATTATTTTTTGTTTTAATATATTATTTTAACTTAAAATAATATTTCTTTATTTATTAAATAAAGCTTTAAGAATTTAAATGTTAAGTAACATTAACATATACATAAAAATAATTTTCAAATATTTAACAACAAAAGCATTATTTAATATAAAAATAAATTTTTTTATTTTTTAATTTATTAACAAAAATATTATTTGATATAAAATAATTTAAATAAAATTTAATTATTTATTAATTTTACAAATATTAAATATATACTAATAAAGATCCTTGCAGGGAGCAATTTATTTTTTTTTTCAAGTTGAAGGGAGCAAAATGGGAATGTACCAAAGCATAAAAAGCCGAAAAGAAAGGTCCAAAGGCCAACGTAGTAATTGCACACTTGGGTGCTGTGATTGAAACTAAAAATTCTTCTCACTTGCTTTTAATTTACTTTGTACTAACTTAAGCACCCATTAGAAAAAATCCCGAATCTTATCCTCCATGAAGCAACCCAGCAACAACAAAAAAACCAAGCCGAAAATAAAAACCAGCTTTCAATAATTTGGACTAACAAAGACTTCGAAAACCATTTCGAGTATTAGCTTTGATGTTAGATCTTACGCTCCGTGTATTTATTTTATATTAAATATATAAATTATATAAATTATTTATTAAATTTAAATTAATATATTAAATATAAAATATTATTTTTATCAAAATTTTATATAATTTTTATTAATATTTAAATTATATTATTTTTATATATCTTATATGAATATGTAAAAGTCAAAATTTTTAAAAAATTTCCAATATGAATGATTTATTTTTTTGGTATATGGATTGTTTAACTTGATGCCATGTGTCATTAATTAATGCAAATTAATTATTAAATTTAAAATACTTAATAAGTAACAAAATTAATTAAATTTCTTTATAAAATTGGCTAACAAAATTTTTTGAATCATATTATTATTATTTCATTAAAAATGAGATTTTATTTAAATTTATATTATTTTAATAATTTAATTTCAAGTTTGAATATCCTTTATCATTGACAACATTATGAAAAATATATGATAATTTAATTACAAATTTTAAATTTCAAAACATAAAAAGGTGAATAGTATATAGATTACCACCCAAAAATTAATGCAAATCATATCAACTTGATTTTATAAAAATTACCATTTAAGTTTTGTTTATGTCACAAATTTAAAAGAAACCTTAAATAGTATTTATTATTTGCCTTATATAAATAAGTTTAAATTAATTTGTAATCAAAATTTATTATCTTATTATTATTTATCTTAATTCATTCTCAACTAAATTAAATTCTTAATTTTTAAGATCATACTTCATCATAAATAGGAATAACTTTAGTGTGTTGAAGTATTGGTTTGAAAATATGTTTCAATATTTTTATTTTGTATTGCTTCTCTTTTTATCTTTTTATTTGTTCCATTTGTTTGTTTCTTCTTTTTTTTATTTGTTTTTATATTTGATTTTTATTTTTTTAATAAATTAGTTTTTCATTTTTACTCATGGTGGCATGCGTTAGTTTCCAATACTATTTCAATTACAAGTAGAATTCTCACATTGTTTTACATTCAAAATGAAGATTGCTACCATTCTCACTATTAATGAAGTCCAACTAGTGAAGAATTAATCCAAAGTGAATATATATATGGCCAGAACCATATCAGGTTTCAAAAAAGTAACTAATTTTTTGCTTTCTTTACACCTTTTACTGCTTTTTGGATCGCATTTATTGAGCACATTTGCAACAATAAGTGAGAGGGAAAACATTATTGTTTGCAGGTAAAGATGTAAATAATTAATGAATTAATTAGTTTTTAGTTTTTATGGATAGATATATGTATGCTTTTGGATGAATATTTGTTACAAAAGTTTTCTATCCTTTCGAATTGTTGTTTAATTGCTTTTGTTCAATATATATACTCTCAGTAAAGTTGTTCCGGCCGTCGTCGTCCTCCGTACCACCGCTTGCCGTGCTTTTGATACCGAACCCTCTGGTGCTAGTTATGCTACTGGTTTTGTCGTTGATAAGCGAAGAGGAATTATTCTCACTAACCGGCATGTGGTCAAACCAGGTTGACTTCTGGAAGAATTATTATTTTTCATTTTTTGTTTGATATCGCTTGATGCTTTTGGTAGTTACTCTTTGCTTCTTCAAATAAAAAGAAAAAAGTTCTTAAGTTATGAATAATTGAAAAGAAATTAGAAATTTAACTGTTATAAGTAATAAAATGGATGATTTTACTATCATATGGATCGATTATGTTTGAATGTGCCTTGCATTTTTAGCTATATGATCATTTTTAATCGAATATGATTTTTTACTACCATCGTTTTACTTTTGAGAAACTTTTGAAGAGGAAGTTAGCAAATACGGAGTAAAAGCAATGGCTAAAAGGAGTGTTGTCTAGTTTTTATTTTG